TATGGTCCCAAAATAATTTCTGAAAGAAATAATTTTTAATATTCTAACTTCCCAATGCAAAGATTAAAGTACACCTGACCCGAGGCATGGTGTTTTCAATTGACTAATATGCGTGTGAAAGCTGGACAACAGATAAGGAAGACCAAAAAAGAGTCGATGCTTTTGAATTGTGGTATTGTTGGAGAATACTGAAAATACTGTAGCCTGCCAGAAGAATGAACAAATCTGTCCTGGGAGAAGTACAGACAAAATGCTCCTTGGAAGCAAGAATGGCCAGACTTCATCTCACCTACTTTGGTCATGTTGTCAGAAGGAACCATTCCCTAGAGAAGAATATTATGCTTGGTAAAGTGTAGGGTCAGTGAAAAAGAGGAAGACCCTCGGTGAGATGGATTGACACAGTGGCTGCAACGAGGGCCTCAAGTATAACAAGAATTGTGAGGATGGCATATGACCGGGCAGTGTTTTGTTCTGTTGTACATACGGTCCCTATGAATCAGAGACAGCTATACAGCACCTAACAACAATAACAATGCAAAGTCAATGTCACTGATCCCTGCCCTACTCTGGATGGCAGAGACCTTGGATTTCCCAAGTTGAGAGGGCTGTTGTGAATATGTATTTTATTGCTGGAGTTAAAAGAAAAAATACATAATTAAAAATATTATTTGAAAGAATTAAAGAGGTTTGGATAGTTCAACTGTACCACCCTCAACCAAATTTGAAATTTCTATCTCCTTTGGACCTCATTGGTATCCATAACATTTTTGCTTGCACATTTGTTTGCTCATGCAGAAGTTTTAGTTCAGGCATTAAACAGACTTTTGAATAAACCAAAAACCAAACACACTGCCATTGAGTCAGATTCAACTCATAGCAACCCCTCCTTGGGTTTCTGAGGTGGTACCACTAAGGAAGCAGATTGCCCAACCTTCCTTCTGAGGAGTGGCTGGTGAGTTTGAACCACCAGCCTTCTGGTTAGCAGTCAAATGCCTTAGGCATTACACTACCAGAGCTTCTTTTAAATAGATAAATTTAAATATTTGGGTGTTTTTTGTATCCTGCTCTTATATGACTTAATGACCTGTCAAAATATATGAAAGATGTTTTGTTTTGTTTCTCTCTCTCTCTCTGCCTTTTACCTCTTATGAAAACTCTTACTCTTTCCCTCTCCATTGTAGCATGTCTCACTGCACTGAGGCCCTGCTGTTGACCTGGTGCCTTCCAAACCACACTGAGCCCACTGAGCTAGATGAGATCAGGACCCTTCAGAGTAGACTTGTGAAATGTCTTTTATGCAATAATGATCACATGGGCTTCCAACTTGCTCTTTAAATCATCCTCCAAATCAGAAAGGTTATTGAAGCTGCTCTCAGGCTGAGGGTAGAAACATGTAAACAATGAGTTGGGAGAGCCCCCTCTACTCACATTAGGCAAAGGATCAATGTCTACCCATTGAAGGAGATGGCATGTTACCTTACACTCATTTCAAAAGCAAATAGCTATGGGGAATTGCAGTCAATGTCATGAGACAAAATGTGTATGAACCACTGTATGGAAAATTAATTTGCTCTGTAAACTTCACCCAAATCACTATAAAATTAAAAATAAATAGATAATATATACTACATAAATAATGAGCACACACACACACACAAAAAGCAAATAGCCCATGACACATTTTATAAACATGTATCTGTGATCTGAAATGGTATGTATTTCAGTTCTCTTGTGCTGCTCTAACAGAGAATACCACAAATAGGTGGTTTGAGCAAATAGGGATATATTTTCTTGCAGTTTAGGAGGCTAGAAGTCTGAGTTCAAAGTGGCAGCTCTAGGGGCTAGGTAAAGGCCCCTCAACCTTGGGCTTCAGCTCTACCTCTTGCTCCCAGTCCACTGGAGCTGGAGGCTTCTCTTAACTTAGGAAGCTCCTGGCTGCTGAGGCTTACAAACCTGGATGGACAAGTAAAATGGCACAGTACCAAGATTATTAAGGAACACAGTAGGCCACTAATTCAAGTCCATTAACTGTCCAAGATTGGAAGACAACATGGTAAGCCATTGAGATGAAGACTTGGCCAAATGCAGGATCCAGACATGCCAAAAGCTATTGACCTTCTTCAATGCTGCTTATATACTGGAAGCAGATCATATCCCTAATGCAGCTCTGCTCAGCTGCTCACAGAAGATTCCACCACAGAGTTGATTACCAGTCTAATCATGGGAAATAACTATATCCAGCTACTCACCCACTCAAAACGAGGCCCAGATGAGTTGACACAAAACTTTAACTACCACAATATGTTTCTCTAAGTTTCTTAGGGATAAAATCATTTGAACTATGAAAATGAGTGGGTATGGGGAGTCATGGGAGCCTGTGTGATGCAGTGATTAAGCACTTAGGTGCTAACTGAAAGGCTGGCAGTTCAAACTCACTAGCCATTCTGCAGGAGAAAGACGTGGCAGCCTGCTTCTGAAAGATGACTTGGAAATGCTATGGGTCAGTTCTACTCTGTCCTTGTTAGGACATTGTGAGTCAGAATCAACTCGACAGCAACGGGTTTAACGGATGGGTTATAAGATGATTGTGGATTGTGAGATCCACTTACATGGAATATTTTATTGTTACTATAATAGCCTTGTGTATTTGATGAATAAGTTGCTTTGTTAGGAAACGAAAACATTGTTAAAACTACACGCGCATACACTCACGCATGTACACACACTTACATACCTACACACACACACAATCACCACTGTTGTGCCAAAGAAAACAATAAGAAATTCAGCAGATTTCAGGGGTTTCCTTTATTTGCAGAAACTGTATGTTAAACCATTGAGGAGAATAACAAACAGGTGAAGAAAACCCAGGAATTCATAAAACATGAAATGTGAAACTGAAGAGATGGTGAATCTTCTTCTTCTTCTTCTTCTTCTTTTTTTTTTTTTTTTTTTTAACAATATCCAGTGAGCCAGGTGGATTCTCTGAGGCCGGTACTTCTTAGTAATGACAGTCTAGAAATTTAAAATCCAAGATGGTCAGTTATAGCATCATGGGAATGGACAAACCTAAGCTAAGAAGGGTAGGTGTGTTTACTTGATAACAGGTAATTGTGTCCAGTGGTTTCCTACTGACAAGGGAGCTCCCTCTTATAGGGGAAGGGACAAAACCCTCAAGAGCATGATGGTTCTCTCCAGACTGTTAGAAAACTTCCAGGTATACTCTTAGGTACATTTGGAAATAGCTGGAAATTAAAGAGTGTATTCTTTGAAGTACTTTGATATCCTGAAGGATCAATCATTGTCTTCCAATTTTTTGAATAACCTCTGGTATTTTTCTTTGTCCTCCCAAACTCATTGGAAGGAAGCACAATGGAACTGGTGGGCAAAATTCATCCTCAGGACTGGACCCTTCATGAGCTGTCATTGGAGTAGGATATTATGTGCAGAATCTGTCACATGTGGTCACATGTGAGAAAAGAATGAGGTCTCTGAGAAGAGGTACCATGGCCACTCTCTTCTAGGCTCCTCCCTCATACCCTGTCTAGTGCCTGCCACTTAGCAACATCTAAAATTGGTGATTGAATAGCAGTAAAATAGGCAATGCTACCTACTGTGTGGAGATCAAAGGGCATGGCCAAGAATGAGAAGGCTATTTTGATAGCCATCTCAAACCATGCAACCAGAATGCTGCATGCTCTAAACTTAGTCAAAAGGGGGCTGTTTTCAAGAATGTTTAGAATTGCCATCAGAACTGTCCACCAATGAGGGCAGACTTGTCCATCAGTACCATTTTTACAGTTGTGCATCTTTCCCGGAAAAGGTTGCCCACTAGAGTCACAGGCCTGGCCTCGGACAGCATTTAGGCAGTGAGTGTCACCTCCTCAGTTCCCACTAACTCCTTAAAAGCAGGTAGTGGAGTGAATCCTACAGTTGAATTACCTTGCACAGAGAGAGGAAAGAAACACCAGGGCACTTCAGGGATGGTGTCGGAAAAACAGCAGTTTCGGGAGGCACAGTCTTCCTGGCTGATGCCGGGGTACCCACAGTTCTTGCGGTCCTTCACTTCCATGACACACTGCTCTGACCCTGCTCACGGGTCACCAATTTCAGGGAGAGACAGCACAGAGACTCAATTAAGCCAGCAACTGACGAGAAACTTCTATTCCTATCAACCTACCAGGAATATCACTGGATTTACAACCTCAGTATTTCTGAGGGATTATGACTTCTGGGATTGTTAAACCAAGGATTATTTAAGTGTTTGAGTCCCTTGGGGTGCAAATGGTTAACATGGTGGCTGCTAACTGAAGGTTGGCAGTTCGTGTCCACCCAGAGATACCTTGGAAGAAAGGTCTGGTACTTCCAAAATATCATCCATTGAAAACTGTATGGGGCACAGTTCTACTCTGACACATATAGGGTCAGCATGAGTCAGAATCAACTCAATAGAACTTCTTCTTTTTTTTTTTTTCATAATTTTGTTTTGTTTTTAGATGTTAGTGCTAGCAATGGGCTCTGTCCTCTCTGCCAATATGAATCAGTGTGGGGTGGTAGACAGAAGTCAGAAGCTGGAGGAGTGGGACCTTGGGAAAATCACTTTGTCCCTCTGGTGGCATAGTGCCTAAGGCATTTGACCACTAAGCAGAAGGTTGGCTGTTCAAACCCACCAGCCACTCCTCAGAAGGAAGGTTGGGCAACCTACTTCCATAGTGAAACTGCCTCAGAAACCCAAGGAGGGATCACTATGAGTCACATCCTACTCAATGGCAGTGCATGTGTGTAAAGCCCAGACTCAATATACCCTTCTGTGAAATGGAAATGGTCCACTGCACCATCATGAGGAAAGGTTTATGAACACCCTTTAAGGACGGAAAACATTCGGTCAAGTTACAGCTATCACAATAATACTTCCACCCTAAAGGTATGGCTATCACAACACTTCCACTAGGATAGAGGCTCTTGCTAACAATTAACTGTCTATCTTGTTTCACTTCCAGGGCCAAGTGATCCCCTGGATGACAGTCCTGGGGAGCAAAACCCTTTCTTGCTATGAGCAACTTAGTATCTTGATATTATAAACTGGCAAAATTTATTTCCCAAAAGATAACCCTTCCTTGCTATGAGCAACTTAGTATCTTGATACTATAAACTGGCATAACTTATTTCCCAAATGATAATCCTAGAATTCTTAATTTCCTAACATTTGAGTTCTGTTAGCAGCTATAGTAAATGTTTTTTTGTTTGTTTGTTTGTTTGTTTGTTATAGTAAAAGGTTTCATTTCTCTTGTAACTTTCTTCAGAAGTCATACTTTCAGAGCTGGGAGGGAATTGAGTTGTACTGGTTCTTCAAATAAAGTAAAACTTGGAGCTTAAATGACTGTTTTCCAGAAAGGTACACAAGTGGCATGGCATCTGCAAGGGTGGATACTAGTGAGTTGATGCGTGTCCCTTCCCTTTTGGTCTGGGCCAGGGCTGGGCAGCCATAAGCATGGAGGGTTGAGTGGACTCCCAGCCAGGCATAGCTCCTGGAAGAGGGTCCTCCTTCCCAGGCAGCTTACCTTGCATTGGAAGGGGAGTGAAACACCAGGGGACACCGGGCACAGTGGAGTCAAAACAGCATCCAACGTCGAAGCACTGGCTGCTGGTGATTCCAGGGAAGCCACAGTTCTTCCTGTTGTCGGGACTCAGCCTTGAACACTGACAGGGGGCTGAGGAAGAAGTTTTGTCAGCCAGCCCCTGTTCCAGGTGCATAGTTCTGCCTGGTTCCATGGGGCATCCAGGGACACCCTCACCAAGAAAGCCAGAATCTTTTCTTTTCCATATCAAACTATACAATTATCTTCTGAGGAGCTAATAGAGTTTTGGTGAAACTGTTTTATGAGTTAAAGGAAAAATAACCTCCCAGAAAGAGCACAAGCAAAGGATCTAGGAGAAGGTCAAAATAAGGGATTAGTAGGTGTTGACTCGACGGCACATAACAACAACAACAGGTAGGATTTGGAGGAGCTCTCAGTGGTGTGGCCCTCCTGACCCAGCCCTTTCCCCAGCCTGGCCACCACACCTGTGGTTATCCAGACCTTTCCCTGGAAGGAGGTCCTTCTTAGAGTTCTTACGTAGCCTCTGTGTACCTTGCAAATATGAGCATACACAGGAGACTGTTTTAATGTGTCCAGAACATCACAAATCTTGGGGTACCTTTTAGGCTGCTTCCCCTCTTAACATTCCTCCTTTTTTCCTTAAGACAAACATAAAAGAAGCCCTGTAGAATAAGAAACTCATTGAGGGAGAGAGAGTTGCTGCAAAAGCAAAGATTTATAACCCCTGCAGCTCAGGGCTCTAGGCTCCTGTAGCCCAGAGCGCTCCATTTCACAGATGAAGAGACAGAGCTGCAGAGAGTTAGTTATGGAGCATTGACTTACCAGGTTTGCCACCAGCAGCCAGGGCACACAGCCCCAGGACGAGGAGTGCCACCAGGAACCCAGTGCCTCGAGGTCCCATGTCTTCTCCTGGAAGCTGCTGACAGAAGGTACCGTCCTCACTCCACAGAGCATTTTATAATCTCCTCTCTGTTTGCTCACCAGACCCAGATAACCTTTTTTGCTCTCTTCCGTGGCACTAGCCCTTTGGGTCCTTTGTTAGGAAAGGGAGCTGCGATAGCTGCCTGGTAGAGGCAGAGCGGAGGTGAGGGGCGGCCTCCGGAAGTGAGGCTTCCAGCCCATGCACTGGCCCCCTTCAGCTGTCAAGCCCTCACCCCTGCCCTGGGCAGAGAGCTGGGCCATGCCAGGATAACAGCCAGATTGCCAACGTGGAAAGCTGGCCATGTGCACGTCCGGCACTGGGCAGAATGGGAATATACACAGCCTCACACCCAACAGAGGATAAGTCATGCATTTCTTCTGATAAAGTGAACGCCACCAATAGAATCTTAAAAATTGCGGTGATCAATCCTATTGGGAAAAATAGAAGGGCTTCCTGCCAACATAGAAAAGATTCCTCCCCAACATATGAGAGACTCTTACAGGACCTTAGGAAACCTATTGTCCAGATCCCATGGTTAGATTCCTTTCCCAGGCTCTGTGCTGTTACTGCTTGCCTCAGTGTCCCTGTTTCCATCTTCAGGAGCAGAGGTTCCTTTCTATGGAAATGAGGCTGACCAGATAAGGGAAGAGGTCAAAATGAGTGGTTAGTAATAACAAGTTCATTTTCAGCAAACCCCTGAAATCCATCATTATTTCCTCCAGGAGAACTCTTCCTTGGTAGCTGCCATAAAGTTGGCCCCCTACTCATGGTGACTCCATGCACAATAGCATGAAACACTGCCTAGTCTTGCCCCATCTCCACGACCGGTTATGGATCGAATCTTTGTGATCCTTAGGGTTTTCACTGGCTGATTTTCAAAAGTATATCACCAGAACTTTCTACCTAGTCTATCTTAGTCTGGGGAAGCTCTGGTAGCATAGTGCCTAAGGCACTTGACTGCTAACCAGAAGGCTGGTGGTTCAAACCCACCAGCCACTCCTCAGAAGGAAGATGGGGCAATCTACTTCCATAGTGATCAGAAACCCAAGGAGGGGTCGCTATGAGTCAGGTCCGACTCGATGGCACATAACAACAACAACAACAACATCTTAGTCTGGAAGCTCTGCTGAAATCTGTTCAGCACCAGAGCAACATACAAGCCTCCAGTGACAGACAATCGGTGGTTGCCCAAGAGGGAACTCTGTGCCCGTCCTATAAGATGGCACTGGGTACAAAGACCTGCCAAGAGTGTGGTGTAAGAGTATGAGGTAGGAGGGAGAAGAGAAAAAGCCCAGAGGAAAAAGAGAGAGATGTAGTGGTGGGGGAAGGAGGTCTTAAGTTCTCCACTGCACAGGAAATTAGCAGAAGGTTGGCAATATGTAAGTCATGGGTTGAGCAGCCAATGACCTATACATTCATAGAAGCTAAAAATCTTGATCAAGAAGAGACACTGTCCTCAGAGACTAGAGATCTGACCTCTGTCCTCCAGGGCTTCTACAAGGTTCAGCCTGAGCAACTCCAGACCATTCACCTATCAAGTGACCATTGGAACTCACTCTTTTGAAAACCTTGGAAAGATAAACTTTCCCTATCCCACATCCTTGTTACCTTGGTCACCACCAAGACATATGTGCTCTCAGTTATCCATTCTCTCCTATATCCTCATTCCCAGTCTCCCCTATGCTTCCTCCTCTTTAACTCAATTTCTCCCCACCCGCACCGTCCGAAACTTTTCAGCATTCTTGCTGAATCAGCCTGATCCATGGTAAAGAAATCCCTCATCTTCCTCAACTGCTTATGCCTCTTGCCCCCTCCTGGCCCTAAGTGAATATTGCATCTTACCTGAGATGCTTCCCTAGGGTCCATCTGAAATAGAAGAGCTCAAGTCTGTATCCGGGACCACCACCAGCTTAAATAGTGCTTTTGTGTGCATTAGAAAAAGGCATATTTTCTTCAAGACAAGTTACTTCCACTTGTGGAAATTCATTATATGTGATGCCTACAATGCAAGGGGTCCCCTAAGGTGACCATGCTCCCACCATGTGGTCATTGAGTGGCTGGGCATTGACTTTGAGCCTCATGTCTCCACACTCTTATAGAAACCATGCTCCTTAGAGACCCAGGCTTTAAACTTTAATCCTCCCAATGCCGAACCCTACTGTCAACTAATAACCTTCACTCAGTCTGGCTCTGTCATTAAGTATTTTAGTGTCTAGTTCTTTGTATTGTTTTTCACACTGAGACTTAACAGCATCCTGGGCAGTTTCAGCATTCCAGTGCACTTATTATCCACATTCCTAATCACTCAAATTTTTATTTCTTCCTCACCTCTAGTGCCCTTCTCCCCTACTACATTTCTGCCACCCCTCCCATGATGAAACTCCCTATTTATAACCCAAAACTTGTATTCTATCTCTGAAAGATAAGATGTAAATGTCTTTTCTGTTCAGGATGTTCTAAGGTTCCAAGATTCTCTCTGTCACCCCCACCACATTCTCTAAATCCTAAGATCCTCTAATCCCCAACTTCTCTGTTTCCAGTCTGGGAACATTATCCTGTCTATTCTTTCTTACTTCCCTTCTTCTCCAGCCTGATTTCCATGGACCTCACTTCACCCATTCTTCTGTACATCACCAGGTACACATGATTTGTTTACTGTCTCCAGGCCTGCCCTGTGTCTGCTGACATTGGCTGGTGCATGCCATTGATTATTACCACTACAAATTCATTGCCTCACACCTATCTGGTCACTCAATGGTGGCTCGATGCTTCCTCATTTCTAGCCTTCTCCAAACCTTTCAAACTTTCATTCTGCACACTCTGGGAATGACATTGTCTACCAGATCACATGGAAAACAACAAATGGAAATTCCCTCAAATATAACCCCGTGTCGAATTCCACTTCTTACCAAGTTGGAGTACTTGGTATCAGACTAGACTTCCCACCATAAATAACTAAAACTAGATAAAATATATGAGCAACAAGCAGTATCAGACTGTGATTCCTGAGAAAAGAGAAATAACAATGTAAGCTCCATTATTGCCTTGTTTTCTGGAGGCACTTTTGAAGCTACAGCACAGACAGGGGAAAACCCAAACAGAGCACATCAGTCTCTGAGGTGAGGAGACAGAGAAGGAATTAGAAGCTACTGAGGCAGTTGAAGGGTAGGCTATCAGTGAAAAGGGAGCTCCATGAATCTGAACAATCTGAATGGGTAGCTCCTTGGTTTTTTTTTCCCCAAAAATCCCAAGCTGCCCATGCACCCAAGACCAGGCAAAGAAAAACTTATGAGGTAGACAGAAACTCTGGGGAGATGTAAACTGATGTAAACTGAGTAACTACTAGAACTCTCAAAGAATTAGGAGACATTGGTGTCGCGGCCATCACGACAATTCTGGAACAGGTGGTAAGAGAATGAGTTAAAAATAAGAGAAAAGTTAAAGGATGGGAACGGGAGGGACACTCAGAGCCATTGCAAAGCAGTACCAAATTTATTATGATTATTCTCAAACTTATATACAAGTTTAACATGGGAAAAGTGCACCATTCATATGTCATACAATCAATCACAAGTTAATCAATATTGGGAAGAGTACATACATACACAATTGGCATATTAAAGTTTAAATTAACATTCCTGTTTCCAAGGTACCCAGGTCACCATGACGTAAGTTACCACAACTCAGGTCGCCGTACACTCTTGCTTCCATCCTCATACCTCTACACAATTACCTATAAATCAACTTATATAACTAGGTTCATTTAAAGGCTAGATTGGCTCACGTATACTTCTGGGTTCAATCAAAGGTTATGCCTCTTTTGCACCTGCTGTTTCTCTGAACAACACAAGGGAGAAAATGGCTGATGGTGTCCTAATAGCGGAGCTCAACCTACAAGGACACCTAAAAGCATCAACCCATATGGGGACACTTAAAAGCATCAACCTGTTTATGGGAGCCGTTGCTCAATTAGTCACTCACCATGTCCCAACAGTCCTTAAGACTTAGGGCTCTCCTCACATTGGAGTCTGACTTGAGTGGAGAAAATCGCCGATCATCTTAGATGTTCAGCAGAAGCACAAAAAGCTCATGCCATAAAAGTAAGCCTGACTGAGTACTAGATGACAGCTCTACTCTAGACCCACTCTAAAAAAAACCTACCTTGAAAGAATCAAACCAATCTGCAAGTAAGTTAACTTACTGCCAGAAAAAACAAAACTCAACACTTTATTAAAGAAGACAAAAAACCTAGACACAAAACAACATAGCATACACAATGTCTAACACAACATCAAGAGTTCCTAGACATGTGAAGAGCAGAAAACATAACCCATAATAGAAGAAAGTCAATATTTTTATAGAAACAGACCCAATAATAAAAGATAATGAAATTACCAGAAAAGGACTTTTAAAAGGCTATTGTAAATATACCCAAAGATTTAAAGAAAAACACAAATATAATGAGGTAACAAAGAACTTCAATACAGAAATGGAAATCCTAAAAGTGAACTAAGTGACAATTCTGGAAATAAAGCAAAATTCTGAAATAAAAAATTCACTTGATTAGCTTTAGAATAGACATTGAACATTAGATACTGCAAAATAAATTACCAATTTGCCTAACACCAGGACAACATAAACTACCCAAACTGGAAAATAGAAAGGAAAAGAGCTGGAAGAAACAGAGCACCAATAAGCTGCCAGATAATATGAAGCAGTCTGGTGGTGTAGTGCCTAAGGCATTTGACTGTTAACAAGTGGGCTGGCGGTTCAAACCTACCAGCCACTCCTTGGAAAGAAGGTTGAGCAATCTATTTCTGTAGTGATATTGCCTCAGATGCAGGGAAGGGTTGCTATGAATCAGATCCAACTCCATGGCAGTGAGTTTGGTTTTTGGTTTATAGTACACGTAATTGGTATACCAGTTGTAGAGAAGATAGAGATTGGACAAGAAAAAAGTGTATATAGAAATAATGGTC